CACTGGCTGGCGCATTTCTGCGGTGGCGCTAGCGCGCGCAAGCTCGCGCGCAGAGCGGCCAGCCGGTTTGGCACACCCGACGCGGCCGCGATAGCGCTAACCGATTGGGGCTCCCCAGCGCGTCTGAAAGGCCGCGTTTGCGCGCTGGCGCTTCAGTGCGGGTCGGTGATTCGGGCGGGCGCGGCATCATGATGACGCCGACAACGGCGGCAACGCTGACGACAGGAGCGATGATGGTGGCGACGTTGACGACGACGACGACGGGAAGGGAAATGACAGCGCTGATGGTGGTATCGCCGATGACGTTGATAGTGTCAATGTGCTGGTGGTGAGGGTGATTGATTGATCATTGTGGCAATGGCGGCAATGGCGGCGATGGACGATGCCGCTAACGGCGGCGATGCGGTGGCGTTGATGACGGTGATGGCGAGGAGGTGCGCGCGCAAAACATCAAACACTTGTGGCCGATTCGTCGTTGAAACGCACGCGGTTGTCCATAATAATGATCTTTCCCCGGCCATCCTGTGGTGTTGGGTCCTCGTTTTGAAGAGACGGTCCCCGCGTTCCTCCTCCTTCTCCTCTTCCCCCTCCTTCTCCACCGTCCGCATGCGCCCCGCACACTCAGGACAGCGTTTCGTGGCCCTCGTCCCCCTCCTCCTTGCGTTTCACCCACCCAGTACAGCGTTTCGTGGCCCCATCTGGAGCCCCACCGAAGGTCCCAGCGCTACCGGCCGCATGCGTCCCGCACACCCAGTACAGCGCTTCGTGGCCCCATAGGGAGCCCCACCGAAGGTCCCAGTGCTACCGTCCGCATGCGTCCCGCACGCACAGTGCAGCGTTTCGAAGCCCCATGGGGCACCCCACCGAAGGTCCTAGTGCTACCGTCCGCATGCGTCCCGCACACCCAGTACAGCGTTTCATGGTTTTCCTCCCCCTCTTCCTTGCGTTTCACCCACCCAGTACAGCGCTCCGTGGCCCCATAGGGAGCCCCACCGAAGGTCCCAGCGCTACCGCCCGCATGCGTCTTGCACACCCAGTACAGCGCTTCGTGGCCCCATAGGGAGCTCCACCGAAGGTCCCAGTGCTACCGTCCACATGCGCCCCGCCCACCCAGCACAGCGTTGCGTGGCCCCATAGGGAGCCCCTCCACCCTGCGCTTCGCCCATCCAGTACAGCGTTTCGTGGCCCCGTAGGGAGCCCCACCGACGGTCCCAGTGTTACCGTCCGCATGCGTCCCGCACACCCAGTACAACGCTTCGTGGCCCCATAGGGAGCTCCACCGAAGGTCCCAGTGCTACCGTCCGCATGCGTCCCGCGCACCCAGTACAGCGTTTCGTGGCCCTCCTCCCCCTTGTCCCTACGGTTCGCCCACCCAGTACAGCGCTTCGTGGCCCCATAGGGAGCCCCACCGAAGGTCCCAGTGCTACCGTCCGCATGCGTCCCGCACGCACAGTACAGCGCTTCGTGGCCCAATAGGGAGCCCCACCGAAGGTCCCAGCGCTACCGTCCGCATGCGTCCCGCACACCCAGTACAGCGTTTCGTGGCCCTTCCCCCTCTTCCTCCCTGCGTTCCGCCCATCCAGTACAGCGTTTCGTGGCCCCATGGGGAGCCCCACCGAAGGTCCCAGTGCTACCGTCCGCATGCGTCCCGCACGCACAGTACAGCGCTTCGTGGCCAAATAGGGAGCTCCACCGAAGGTCCCAGCGCCCCCGTCCGCATGCGTCCCGCACAGCCAATACAACGCTTCGTGGCCCCATAGGGAGCACCACCGAAAGCCCCAGTGCCCCCGTCCGCATGCGCCCCGGAAGCCGAATTTGGCATTTTCACCCACCCAGTGCAGCGCTTCGTGGCCCCATGGGGGGCTCCACCCAAGGCCCCAGTGCCACCGTCCGTATGCGTCCGGGAAATGTAATTTGGCATTTTCACCCGCGCAGTGCAGCGTTTCGTGACCCCATAAGGGGCTCCAGCGAAGCCCCCAGTGGGACCGTCCGCATGTGTCCCGGAAACTCAATTTGGCATTTTCACTCACTCAGTACACTGCCGTTTTTTAATACATGCTCCGCGTGCGGATCATGTATTCAAACTGCAGGGATTTAGAAAGCAACGATGAGTTCATACATAAATTCGTTCATAATCATGTATGGAAAATCATATATTTTTAAAATTCCTATGTATTAAAAACTGCCCTGTAGAGCGTGTCGTTGCCCCATAGGGAGCTCCACCGAAGTCCTCAGTGGGACCGTCCGCATGCGTCCCGGAAGCCCAATTCGGCACACCACCTACACAGTACAGCGTCCCCCCGCCCAGTGCAGCGCTCCGTGGCCCCAGAGGGAGCTTCACTGACGCAGAGATTCACAATTTCGGTACCCACAACTGCATCTGGTTGGGACCTTCGCCGGGATAATCATTGGAATTCGTTGGGAGCAATCTGTGCTGAACTGTATTCGACATGCGCGCGCGCGTGGCCGGCATAGTATTGTTTGAAGTGGTTCGTGCACCAGGCACCTGCGATTTCAGTGCGGATGCACCGCGTGATCATGTGGGAACGCGGGCTCTGGGTGACATTGTTAGCACAATGATGTTACGAGCTGAGAAAATGCAAGCGCGAAAAACATCTACCAGGTTCGTTGTTCGAGCCTTAAGGGGTGTTCGACCCATTTATTTCACGCTGATTGCAGACGTGTTGTGTTTCACATGATTTCGAGGTTCGCGCGCGCGTGCGGACTTTACGTCATGGGTTTGCAGAGTGACGATTGGAATCTATGTTTCGGGATCGACGAGCGCGCGCGCGTGGTATCGCTCGACCAAAACAGCGGGGGATGGTCGTTACGGGTGGGCCGGGATGATTTGATGTGGTGTGGCAGTTGAACGGTTCGGCAAAGTCACATGTGCATGGCATTACCCATGGATGTACCGAAAACCCCATGGGGAAAGCGTCGTGGAATTTCTATCTGTTGGTCGGAACAGAGAACTGTGGTGCAAATTATGTGGTGTGAATTTTATGTGGTGCGAGCTACATGGTGGGGCTACAACGGTGCGGCCACGGGCGGCAACGTGGCGAACCCCCGGCGGACGGCCCAAGCGCGGCGGCAACGAGGCGGCAACGGGCGGCAACGCGGCGAAAATTCGGCGGACCACCCAGGGGCGGCGAGCGGCAGCGAGGCGGCAACGTGTCGAAGCTCTGGCGGCCCCCCCGAGCGCGTTGGCAAACAGGGCGGCGACGGGCGGCATCGGGGGGCACCGGTGCGACACCTCGGCGGACCCCCCCGACGCGGCGGCAGCGAGGCGGCAACGGGCGGCAGCGTGGCGAGATTGAGGTCCGCGCGGAGTTTTTGGAGTGGCGTTGGACCCCCGTCCCTGGCGCGCGGATCGCGCTAGAGGTTGCGATGGTGATCGGGCGAAGAGAACTATACACATGCACCGATCCTGGCAAGGCCCATCCTTGACCCAGGATCGGTGCATACACCTTCCTGGCCAAGGTAGAGGGCGTATGCACCGATCCTGGGCTCAGGATGGGCCTGGCCAGAATCGGTGTATGTGCATAGTTCTCTTTCCTCTAGGTGACGCGCCAATGGGGCCCAGCGCTAATCCATCGCGTAGAGTTCCGAACTGTGCTGTGTATGCTGTTGTTTCTCCCTCCAGCGGGAAACTCTGCGGGAAACTCAGAAGTCTCTTTGGGGCCTCTCGGTGGCCTCTTCGATGTCTCTCGGAGGTTTCCTGGGGGCTTTCGGGGGCCTGCGGGGGGAGGGTCCTTCAGCCTTGAGCGTCTCGTTGTGGCCTGCTTGCGGCCTCGGGGGGCCATGTTAGAGTGGAGGGTTCCAGATGGTAGCTCGAGCTCCTCATCTCTGGCCAGGACGGGGAAGGCAGATGCGATATGCTCTTGCGAAATGAAAAGAATTTGCGAAGTATATCCGCAACCCCATTTGAGAGGGCTGCAGGCCGGTGCATGCAGCGGTGTACCGCCTGGGTCCGATGCTTGGGCCCGAGAACATTGTCGAAGCACGCGCGCGCTAGGTCACAGGGACAGCACCGAAGCCACGAGGTGCGACGTACTCCGGCCTGGCTCGAGGGCTGGGCTCGGCACCCGCCGCGGCCATGCTGCCCCCCCCGCACGCTCCCGCCCCCCTGCCGGTGCGGGCAGCCGTGCCGCTGGGCCAGCCCGGCTGCAGCGCCCCCCCCGCCGCTGGCCACGCCGCGGGCGCACGGCTCGCCTCCGGCGCGGCCCCGCGCGCCGCCGCGGAGGGCGGCGGCCGCCTGTGCGCTCTGGCCGCGGCGGCGGCGGTGGCCCTGCGGCTGCGCGCAAGGCGGCGCGGCATCCGCGGGGCAGGCGCCCGCGGGGCGGGCGCCCGCGGTCGGGACGCGCTCGCGGGGCCGCTCGTGCGGAGGATCGAGTTCTGCGGGAAGTTGCGAGCGGCGAGCATGCCCAGGTCCACGCCGTGGAGCTGGCGGGGGGTCTGAGGTGGCCCGGCACTGGTGTTGGCTGGTGCAGGCTCGAGGTTCTGGGTTCGAGGAGGTCTTTTGCCTCTCTAACCTCTGGGGGCCGTTGTCGTGCCCCCGGACGGTCAGATGCGGATCCAGGGCGAAGAATTGCACCAGATTCCCGGGGTCCAGGGATAGAGATTCAGTGGATTTGTCCCCATCCCCACTCCTGGCCGATTCTCCATGGCCTTTATAAGTTCGGACCCCCTGGTCGCTTCCAAGTTACGAGCAGCGAACATGTTCATATTCACGCCCTCGCGGTCTGGATTCTGGAACGCGATCCCGAGGATACGCGGTCGCGTGCGTACGCTCCGAGCGCGGGGCACCCGCAAAAAAGCGCCTCGTATCCTCGTGGACGCGGCCCAGGGGCACGGCACGCATGGTCCTGGATACGGATATTGGTTCCGAAGCGGTTCTTCGATCACCGAGCGCGTTCCGCTACTCGCACAATGCCTACTCGCAAACGTTCGAACAAAAACAGGTGTTCTTTTCCATATAATGGATCGTAAATCCCCCGCGGCGGATCCAGGCCATTTTGCGAGTAGCTACTTTGCGAGTAGCGGCACGTGCTTGTCGATTCGAGGAACACAGGACGGCATGAACAATGAACGGAGCTCGACGCGGATTCTGGTATCTGCGCTGGGCCCCCACGGCGGCGCCTCCGGCGCCGCCCCTGGCGCGTTCCGCGCGCCAGGGGGGGGGGGTCCAGCACATCCAAGAGACCCGCGCGGACCTCCGAAAGTATGTTTCTGCCGCTCCGTTGTTCCTCTGGTCTTGGCCCCAGGTGTCCCCCGCTCTGCGCGCCTCTCTGGAGGGCTTGGGGCCCATTCTGGCATCGTGCGGGGGTTACTTTCGGGGCCATCTGAGCGGCGCAGGGAAGCTTACGCTAGCGCATCCCCAGAGTGATGCCCATGTGATTCTTCGATGTGCATTTGCTGATTTTATTTTCTTGCGATGGGAACACGTGAAAATCACACCATGACGCATTGGCTAATGCAGCGTGCGACGTCCGCGTTGACGCCAACACAGCGTGCGACGCCCGCGTGTCCTGAGCGGAGCAGAAAGGCGGGGTCGTTTGCGCGGACATTGGCGCGTAAGCCTTCCATGTAAGGTCAAGCGCAGGCGTCCTTGTTCTCGACGCGGTGTGCCACGCTGGCGACCCTCGCCAGCCACATCGTGCTTCAGACCCCTCTTCGTCGCTCATCTGGGCCTCTCCCTGCGATCCTGGGGGCACCTTGAGCCGGGGGGCGCTCTTGGGCAGCACCCGAGAGGAGGGCGCGGGAGGACCCGCTGGACCCGCCCCGGGTCGACCTCGCGGAGAGGCAGAGCGAGGAGATCGGCTCTGCACAACGCCGACCCTCCGAAGGTTCTGTTGATAGAAGAAGCGATTCGAAAGATGCCCCCCCCCGGGGGGCCTCCGCCGCTGGAACTGCTGTTTTTTTATCGTCTGCGTCCCCCAGCTATTTTTCTGCAGTCGCCGTCGTCGTCGTCGTCGTCGTCGTCGTCGTCGTCGTCGATGTCGTCGATTACGGCGGGCCTACACAGCCCCCCCCCTTCTCAGAGCATCCGCAGTGCGTCGTCGTCATCGACTACAGCGGGCCTGCGCAGCCCCCCCCCCCCACTGGCCTCCGCATGGCGCCGTCTTTGTCGTCGCCTACGGCGTACGGCGGGCCTACGCAGCACCCCCCCCCACCCCAATCGGGTATCCGCAGTGCGTCGTATTCGTTGCCGTCGTCGTCCGTCATTATCGTCCTCGCCCTCGTCCTCGTCCTCGTCGTCGTCGTCGATTACAGCGGGCCTACGCAGCACCCCCTCCCCATGAGGCATCCGTCGTGCGTCGTCGTCGTCGTGGTCGTCGCGGTCGTTGTCCATCGTCGTCTTCGTCCTCGTCTTCGTCTTCGTCCTCGTCCTCGTCCTCATCCTCGTCGTCGTCGTCGTCCGTCGCCGTCGTCGTCGTCGTCGTCGTCGTCGTCGTCGTCGTCGTCGTCGTCGTCGTCGTGGGTCGTCGGATGCGTCGTTGTCGGCGTATTCCTCGTCGTCGTCGTCGACGCCGCCGTCGTCGTCGTCGTCGTCGCTAACGACAGCGGGCCTACGCAGCCCCCCCCCCCCCTATCGGGCATGCGCAGTGGTGGTCGTCGTCGTCGTCGACTACAGCGGGCCTGCGCATGACCCCCCCCCCTCTTTCTGGGCATCCGCAGCGCGTGCGTCGTCGTCAGCGTCGTCCGCCGTCGTCCTTCGTCGCCGTCCTCGTCCCCATCCTCGTCCTCGGTGTCGTCGTCGTCGTTGTCGTCGTTTTCGCCGTCGTCCGTCCACCTGGTCGGCGCAATCGCCCTCGCGGACGACCGCGGCGACTGGGATGAAAATGATGAGGAAGGGTAGGAGGAGGAGGAGGAGGAGGAGGAGGAGGAGGAGGAGGAGGAGGAGGGGAGGAGAAGTAGGAGGAGAAGGAGGAGGAGGAGGTGGGACGAGGGGCGCGAGTTATCTGTTCAAAACGACAACCAAATACCACAGGACGGTCGGGGGAAAGACAGTTTCGCCCCCCACCCCCCAGATGCGTCTGCCCAGCACAAGAGGAAGGCGCCTCCCCGGGACGGGCGGAGAGTACTTGTTTGATTGTTCGCAACCGTTAGGCCATGGCATACTCGCACCCGTTCTGGCCCCCGCCTCACCATGTCCGTGGACCCACAGGGAGCTCTCTCACAATTGCGGAACTTACACAATTGCGTATGGTTGGGTCCTTCGCCACGGAGGTGCTCTTGATACGGGGCTCCTGAAGTCCCGACCCACTCCCAGGGACTGGCTTTTCATCCTGAACCGTTGTTCGACAGTCCGACGGCCTGGCAAGAGCCTCAGAAGCCAAAAACAACGAAACACCTCCGCGCCGATGTTTCCAGGGCCCCGGCGAGGGCCCCGACAGGCCGATAGCAACCAGAATGCTGCGTGCCGATGTTAAGGGGAGCAAGCGATTGAATAATACATCTGGGGCGGACGCTTAAAACACTGATTTCGCGGCCTAGCTGCCCCCCCAATGGGGGAGGAGGGGGGACAGGCCGACGGAGGGCGGACAATCCTTGGCTGCCTGGGGGGCCCACGAGGCCGCCAAAACTTTGCGAACCACACCCTTGAAACATAAGATGTTTTGACCTCCTCCTCCTCCTCCTCGTCCAATTCGGGCAAAGGAGGCGGCCGCCCAGTGAGGCGGCTCATCGGGATGTTCTGCCTCAGGCTTGCGGGTCCTACTCGTCGTCCTCCTCCTCCTCCATTTCCTGCTGCTCCTCCTCCTCCTCCTCGTTCTCCTCCTCCTCCTCGTTCTCCTCCTCCTCCTCCCTCCCACCTTCTCCCTTCTCTCGTACCTGCTTCTGCCCTTCGCACCCAATTCGGCACACCCCTCACACTCAACGTGGCTCCGTTGGAAGCTCCAGTCGAAGACCCGAGCGGCAGCGTCCGCATGGCGCAACCGTGTCCAATTCGTCACACCCCTCACGCGTTTCGGAGTCTCATGGGGAGCTCCACCGAAAGGGCCCCGGCGGCAGCGTCCGAGTGGCGCTCCCGCACCCACTTCGGCAACCCTCCCAGACACTTCGTGGCCCCATTGGGAGCTCCATCGACGGCCTCAGCGGCAGCGCCCGCCTGGCGTACCGGCGCCCAAGTCGGACACCCCACATGGTGTACCCGCACCCACTTCGGCACACCCCTCACATGTTTCGTTGCTCCCGCCATGGGGAGCTACACCGAAGTCCTCAGCGGCAGCGTCTACATGGCGTACCCGCACGCAGTTAGGCACACCCCTCGCACGCTTCGTGGCACCATAGGGAGCTCCACCGAAGGCCCCAGCGTCAGCGTCCTGATGGCGTGTCCGCCTTTTGATTCGGCACAGCCCTCAAACATTGCGTGGCCCCATGGGCCATGGGAGCTCCACCGAAGGCCCCAGCGGCAGCGTCCGCATGCTACACCCAATCCGGTTCACTCCTCACACGTTTCGTGGACAATGGAGCTCCGCCGAAGCCCCAGCGGCAGCGTCCGCATGGCGTTCCCGCACCCAATTCGACGCACCCCTCGCACGCATCGTGGTCCACCAGGGAGCTTAACCGAGGCCCCAGCGGCGGCGTCTGCATGGCGCATCCGCACCAAATTCGCCACAACCCTCACACGGTTCGCGGCCCCATAGGGAGCTCAACCGAAGGCCCCAGCGGCAACGTCCGCATGGCGTACCCACACCCGATTCGGCGCACCCCTCGCACCTCCTCCTCCTCGTTCTCCTCCTCCTCCTCCCTCCCACCTTCTCCCTTCTCTCGTACCTGCTTCTGCCCTTCGCACCCAATTCGGCACACCCCTCACACTCAACGTGGCTCCGTTGGAAGCTCCAGTCGAAGACCCGAGCGGCAGCGTCCGCATGGCGCAACCGTGTCCAATTCGTCACACCCCTCACGCGTTTCGGAGTCTCATGGGGAGCTCCACCGAAAGGGCCCCGGCGGCAGCGTCCGAGTGGCGCTCCCGCACCCACTTCGGCAACCCTCCCAGACACTTCGTGGCCCCATTGGGAGCTCCATCGACGGCCTCAGCGGCAGCGTCCGCCTGGCGTACCGGCGCCCAAGTCGGACACCCCACACGGTGTACCCGCACCCACTTCGGCACACCCCTCACATGTTTCGTTGCTCCCGCCACGGGGAGCTACACCGAAGTCCTCAGCGGCAGCGTCTACATGGCGTACCCGCACGCAGTTAGGCACACCCCTCGCACGCTTCGTGGCACCATAGGGAGCTCCACCGAAGGCCCCAGCGTCAGCGTCCTGATGGCGTGTCCGCCTGTTGATTCGGCACAGCCCTCAAACACTGCGTGGCCCCATGGGCCATGGGAGCTCCACCGAAGGCCCCAGCGGCAGCGTCCGCATGCTACACCCAATCCGGTTCACTCCTCACACGTTTCGTGGACAATGGAGCTCCGCCGAAGCCCCAGCGGCAGCGTCCGCATGGCGTTCCCGCACCCAATTCGACGCACCCCTCGCACGCATCGTGGTCCACCAGGGAGCTTAACCGAGGCCCCAGCGGCGGCGTCTGCATGGCGCATCCGCACCAAATTCGTCACAACCCTCACACGGTTCGCGGGCCCATAGGGAGCTCAACCGAAGGCCCCAGCGGCAACGTCCGCATGGCGTACCCACACCCGATTCGGCGCACCCCTCGCACGGAAGTCCACCGAAGGCCCCACAGTCAGCGTCCGTTTGGCGTACCCGCGCCCAATTCGACAGACCCTCACGCTTTCCACGGCCCCATAGGGAGCTCCACCGAAGGGCCCCAGCGGCAGCTTCCGCATGGCGCTCCCGCACCCACTTCGGCACATTCCTCACATATTTCGCGGCCCCACAGGGGGCTCCACAGAAGGGTCCAGCGGCCTGCACGAGATACCGACAGCTACATATGGTCGGGGGCATGGTCGGGGGCTTCGCCAGGATAAGTCATCGTCTCCCTCGCCTGATTGTTGGTTGACGTCGTGTTGGCCGTTGTCATCCTCCCGTCGGTTCCTGTCGTCGTCGTGGTCCGTCGTCGTCGTCGTCGTCGTTGTCGTCGTCCAAAGGGCCGTCGTCGTCGCGGGTACGCCATGCGGACTGTGACATTGGGGCTTTCGGTGGAAGTCCTTATGGGGCCACGAAGTGTGTGTCAGGGATGTACCGAATCGGCTGTGGGTACGCCATGCGGACTGCTGCTGGGGCATTTGGAGCTTCCTATGGGGCCATGACTCCAGTGAGCGGTTGGCCGAGTCGGGTGCGGGTACGCCTTGTGGTGTGCAACTGGGACCTTCGGCGGTTGAGCTCCCTATGGGGCCCCGGTTCGTGTGAGAGTTGTGCCAAATCGGGTGCGGGTACGCCATGTGGATTGTGCCATTGGGGCCTTTGGTGGGGCTCCTTGTGGGGCCACGAAACGTGTGAGGGATGTGCCGCATCGGGTGCAGGTGCGCCATGCGAACTGTGCCATTGTGGCCTTCGGTGGAGCTACCCCTGGGGCCACGAAACGTGTGAAGGGTGTGCCGAAGTGAACATGCGGAGAGCAGGTGCAGGGATTGGAGGGGGGAGAGAGGGGAGCAGGGGGATGAGGCGATGGGAGACGCGGATCGCTGTCTCGTTGAAACGAGAACCGAACGCGACGGCGGCCCCCGCCGACCTAACAGAAAACGAAGCGCAACAGCCGACACGAAATTTGCGCTAGGAGGAAGGGGGAGGATGGAGGGATGAGAGGGAGGAGGAGGAGGAGGAGGAAGAGGAGGAGGAGGAGGAGGAGGAGGAGGAGGAGGAGGAGGAGGAGGAGGAGGAGGATGGTTGGGAACAAGGCATTTGACGTCTGGAAAGAGCGACCCTCCGCCTGAGTGGCCGTCTCCTACGCGGCCCCGGCGGGGTGCGGAAAAGGGCCCATAGGTCCAGGCACGCAGGCGGGTGCTGCCGCAGACCACATGCAGCGACCGGGGCAGGCCGCGCGCCAGAGGCCACTCTCTCCCGAAGCCGCTCCTCGCGTGTATGATGGGCGTGTTTTCCACCACCACCACCACCACCATAAGTTGCAGGGTGGGGTCCTCCTCCTCCTCCTCCTCCTCCTCCTCCTCCTCCTCCTCCTCCTCCTCCTCCTCCTCTTCGCCCTCCTCCTTCCCCCCTCCAACTTATGGTGGTGGTGGTGGAAAACAGGCTCACCAGTGTAGGGTAGGTTCGTGTCGTGTCGACCGGTGGCGACCCCGCCAGCGGCGTTCCACCTTGAACGCCGCGGGCGACCCAGAAGCGTTCGACGTGGAACGATGTGGACGTTTCGGAAACGGCCGATCGTTCAAGGTTGAGCGATCCCCGCGGTGTCAGAAACCAGCGCCGGGGTCGACACGACGCGAAGCTGCCGTAGCCGAGGAGATCCCTTTCCTGGTGGAGACGGACTTGGAGCCGGCGGAGATAGTCAAGCTGGACCGCGCGAACGAGTGGCCAGATGTGCTGGCCACGCGAAAGCGGAAGCCTTCGCTCGCCTCCGAGCCTTGGGACGGGCAGAAGCCAGCGTATTTCAAAGGAGGGAGCTCCAAGAGCAAGGAGATCCTGGCTGCCAAGAGGTTGATCGCAACCTTTCTGAGAATGAGGGACGCGAACCGGCTCATCCGCATGGGCATGACCACTGATCCAGAAATCGACGCGCGCGGCTGGTGCTGCGTGGCGCTGATCAAGCTGGAGAGGTACGAGGACGCCGCGAGGCTGGCGGCCGGCCCGGACGGCCAGAGCCCGATCGGCTGGACGACGCTGAGATACGTCGTGCAGAACCTGGCAAAGGCCGGCGCCCTCGAGGCCGCCATGCACTTGTCGCGGCTTCAGGCGAAGTCCGGGAGGACCAAGTTCATCACTGCCGGGTCCCGTGCGCTCCAGAACGGGGTGGAGGCCCTGGCGCTGTACCTGCAGTCCACCTCCGCCGGCATGCCGAAGCTGCTCACGGCCCACGGCACGCAGTGCTCTCTGGAGTTTTTCGGGGGTGGACAAACTCAAGAGGGAAAGAAACACACTGACACAATTAATCCTCGATTTCTAAAAATACGGAAAAATATGGGAAGTAGGGGGGAAGACAAAAACCCAGAAAATATACGAAAATATGGGGAATCCTGATATTTGTGTGTATTTATTTGTGTGTCCCAGGGCCCCTTCACAAACTTCCTCCCTTGACACATCAATTAGCGAATTGACCGTTTTCGGTTCGCGAGAGGGCGTCGCGGCCGTCATTTTTGCGTGTCCAGGTCCGTCGGCTTCGGCCCCAGGCCGTTTTTTCACTAAATGGAGGTTTACTAAAGGTATGGTTTGTCCATAGCCGAGGAGTTGGAGAGGATGCTCGAGTTCAAGAACGACATCCTGGCCATCACGCCCCACAGGCGGTTCAAGATGTTCACGGCGGCCTTCAACCAGCTGATTCGCTGGTATGGCCGTGCACGGCTCGTGCCGCAGGCGCTTCGCGCCTGCGAGATCATGAACGAGTTGGGCATCCCGAGGGATGAGATGACTATTCATTTCCTGAGCCGTGGCTGCGCGCAGCAACTCGTCAACCTCAAGATTGCCAAAAGGTACACGCAGGTGCCGCCAGACTGGCCCGGGAGGCGCCCAGAGGTCTTCTTCATGGGGCGCGTGAATTCGGGGAAGTCGTCGATGATCAATGCGTTGTTTGCCTCATTGACGAACGACGCCAAGGTCAACAAGCAGAAGGGCAACACGCCGGGTCTGAACTTCTTCGAGGTCAACCGCGAGCGGTTCGGCCTGCCTCAGTTTTCTATCGTGGACTCGCCCGGCCTTGGCACAGCATACAAGCCTTCGAGCAGCTTGAAGCACTTTCCCGAGTTGATCTTCTCCTACCTCCGCAATCGCCAGTCTCTGACACACGTGTTCCACCTGGTAGATGTACGCATGAAAAGGTTGCTGCCCGCCGATAAGACGTTGATACACTTGCTGGCCAGCGCTGCGCGTCCGCGCGTGCGCTACACCATTGTGGTCAACAAGATCGACATAGTCACCCGGAAGCAGGCGAACGCCACCGCGATGGCCATTAAGACAGAGCTTGCCCCCTACGCAGATGTGGACATCATGTTCTCCAGTGCCAGGACCAAGCGCGGCGTCGACCAGATGTGGGCCAAGATCTGGCAATCCGTCACCGAGACGCCGCGGGGTCGGAAGCACAAGCTGCTGGGCCCAAACGAGCTCCTGAAGCTGCGGAAGTATGCAGCTGCCTGCGGCGAACCCCGCCTTTGCTCACAACCCAAAAATCAGAGGAGGACGAGGTACCGATATGCTGCTGCCTTTGCCCCGCTCTCGTGTTTGGGGGGGCTTCTGGGAGGCCCTTGCCGGCACCGCTGGATTCGCTTCGGAATTCTGCTGGTCAGAGCCCGGGAGAGGTCCGGGGAGTAGCGGTGCATCGGTACCTGGCTCCCCCCAGCGAAAAGCGGCACCCTCACCCGCGGACGCAACGCGGGTGAGGGTGAGGCGGTATTGCCGAAGTGGTGCCGCGACTGGGGGTGGGATTGGGGGGAGCGGCCCAGGCTCGAGCGCCAGCCTCGGAGGCCGTCGAGCTCTCGGCCCCACCCCCGGTCCCGGAGGGGGCGGCAGCCGGAGGCGGGGTGTCTCCAGGCCTCCTGGATGGGGTCGGAGTGGATGGGGTCGGAGGGTCGCGCCGGTTTCCCGATGCATCACCGGTGTATCATCGGGGGTGGACAGAACCCCCAACAGTGACACGTCGATTAGTGAATTGTCCGTTTTCGGCTCTCGAGAGGGCGCCGTGGCCGTTATTTTCCAGGCTTGCGCCCGCCAGGTTTGGGCCTCAGGTCGTTTTCACTAAACCACGTTTTACTAAAGGGGGGTCTGTCCATCCCCGATATCAGCGATGCGGCTCGATGAGGGGCCCAATTTTTCTCCACTCCGACGTCGCCGATGCATCGCTGACGTCGCCAGGACTATGGCCGATACATCGCAGATGAATCGGCGATGCATCGGCGATGCATCGGCGGTGCGGCGAGATCCTCCGATCCCATTCGCTCGGACCCCATGCAGGAGTCCTCCAGTGTCATTTTCGATCATCAGCCGTGCCAGTATATGGGAGAAGAAGGCGACAAACGCAGCAGCTGGGCTGAGAGAATCGCGCCTGGCGCCCCCACAAGGCCGGACCCGACCCGCCAGCAGCGGCGCGGCGCTCGAAATCGGGCGCTGCGCGCAGGTCATCAGCGGAGCGGTTGTGGTTTTTGCTTGTTCATTTCTTCAGCGCAGCCTAGCCCAGCGGTTGTGGTTGTTCCTTCGTACTCGTTCCTGACCAGTGACTTGTCGAAGTTCATGCAGGGCGATTTTTCCAGGTAGAAGGGCCCTGTAGAAGCGCTCGGGGGGCGTCTGGGAGGCGTGCCTGCGGTACTGTGGCGAGGCATGGCCGTGGCGATTCATCGCTTGCTCCTTTTTCCACGGGAATTCGCAAGAGGAGATTCCCGTTTCTTTTTGCCTCTTGGCGATTTTTTCGGGCCTTCTCGTCAGGGCCAACGTTTTGGGGGGGATAGGCTCAGGGGGGGATGCATCGACCCCCAATCGCCCATTCATCGCCGTTAGACGCCTGACAGATAGGGGCCTGATATCCCACCCCGCGCAGGAGCGTCCAGATTCGCCATCATGGGACTGTCGCCGATGCATCGGCGATGCCTCGCCAATTCCAGGGCTATGCTTCCCCCCTTGAGCCAGCCGTTCCCCCCCGGAATGCTCCTCCTCGTCACGGGTTTCTGCAGGGCAGGGGATTCGCTTAAACGCTAAACGGTGCTCCGGCGATTTCGTGAACCGTTCTTCGCTCTGACCTCGTTCTGCAGCAGAGGAGGAACAAAGGCAGGACGAAGCGAGAACGCACAGCTCTGTTCGGCCCGGGCCCTGCGGCAGGGCCCCCCCCTCCGGGGGGGCCGGTACAGGGCGTCTCGAGGCCGCCTCGGGCGCGCCATCGTTCTGCCGAGGGGTCCCGAGGAGTTCGGCGGAGCCACCTCGGGGCCGCCTGGTCGGGTCTGGGCGAGTTGCCTCCAGCAGAGGGGGCCCGCTTTTGGGGGTCCCCTTCGGGCCTCCTGGGGCACTCTTGGGAACGTGTGGGGGCTCGTGTCTGGGGTCCTGGGGCCCTCATGGGGCTCTCTGGGGGGGGGGTCTGGGAGGCCTCCTCAGCTGATCTCGGGCCCCATGGTTCAAACAAGGGGGCGTCATGAGACTCAGGGCCTCCCCGGGAGGCTCAAAAGTTTCGTCTTAACCTCCAGATCGGCTTTGGAGGTCGCCACGACCATCGCGGCGGCCACAAATCATGCCCCTTCCAAGCCTCCCACCCCGCTCTGCGATGTAGACGTGACTCATCATTAACCATACAGCGACTTAGAGTTGTCGTTGTCCAACCGTGGGCAGTCATGTTTCCCTGGTTAGGCGTTTGTGATCACGCAGCCAGGCCAGTGGCAGTGAGGGCGGCCTCGTCCTGACCCCAAGTTGTGGATTTGGCACGCTGCCGCTTGCTGCGTGTGCAAGGGCGCCCTCGAGGGCGCGAAGTTATTCGCGCTTCGCGGTTTGGCTCCGATTCCTCCTCCTCTTCTCCCCTGGGAGGCGGCGCGAGAGCGCGAAGTTATTCGCACTTCGCGCTTCGCGAAGCGCGAAGCGCGAAGTTGGGTGCCCTTGGTGTGCCCGATTCGTGAGAGAGACCTGTTTGCGGCGAGTCTGTGCTGGGGTGAACGGCTTGGGCCGGTGCGCTCTCCGCCTCCCTCCCGCGGAAGGCGCTGAGAGACGGGGGTCAGCGCAAACGGGGGTCAGCCAGGGCGACGGATCCCGCAGGAGCCTGCGAAGACCCCATCTGGCTGACCCGGAATAGCGAGCCGCTCGTGGCAGCGAGGCGGCCGCGCATATTGGCTGGCCCTGGTTCGCGTTGACCTGCGGTGCAGTTTCTTTCTGCATTGCAGTTGTTTGGTTTCCTGCTGACCCCCGTCTGCATTGACCCGGGTCAGAAGATTCCCGACTCCCGCGGAAGGCGCGCCAGAATGAGAGCGGCGTGTCGGTTTGCAGCCAGACTCGGCGGCGAGCCCAGGGGGCAGGAGAGAGGAGGCGGCGGGTCTTCTCAGAAGGCTCGCAGGGCCTCGGGCTTTCTGGTAAGATGTCTAAGCCTCCTCCGAAGACAGAACGTCTCAGACGGCAGGAGGGCTTCTGAGAAGCCCCGCCGCCTTCTGAGAATGCCTGCTCCTTCTGATCCCCCCCCTTGTGTTCGCCGCCGACAATAAGGAGGCCAGTCGCGTCTCTGATCGGCAGCGAAGTCCGAACCCTACCCTCGCCGATAAACGAGTCAGGCAGCTCGATGGGCGACGGGGTTGGGGTTAGGAGTTCGTCGAACACGTGGCGAGATCCAAACCCTGACCCCGCCTCCCATCGATTCAGGAGAACCGATGGCTGGGTGTGGGTAGGGTTCGGACGTCGCCAACTATCCGATCAAACCACTCCACGCTTACAGCCGCAGCCCACGACACGAGTGCGGTGCTTCCTCGGTGGCCACGACCGTAAAGGGAGGGCGGGCCTGGCACAGAATCCAGCGCAGATGCAGGAACAGCCTTGTTGTAACAGGAAGTGAGACAAGGACAGGTTCCCGAACATGTACCTAGGCCTCCCAAATAGGGCCCGGGTAGTTGGGGTCGGAAGATCGCGCCGCATCGCCGATGCATCGGCGATGCATCTCGATGCGAAACCAGGAGTTGTTTCGCGCCCACGGCGCCGATGCATCGCCGACGTCGCCAGTGCATCGCCGAGGCATCGGTGATGCATCGGCAACATCGGCTAACATCGGCGCGATCATCTGGCCCCACCTGCTCGGACCCTATCAGGGAGGCTCCCAACGCAGGCAGATGTTCTCAGTAAGGTAATACCTTCCTGCTGATCCGAGGGAGCCCTAGGAAGGTTAGTGGGTGACAGGGAGCCTGCTAAGAGAAACGTGGAGCAGTCTCGCGTGCGTGCTCGCGTGCTTGCTCCCAACGGCCACCTCGGCCGGTCTCGGGCGAGAAAGGACCCTCTGCTCCCTTTCAGCGGGGTCCCGCGGGCGATCTGCACGTCCTGAGGGAAGGTAGTACAGTCGGGGCCCTGAAGAAGAAACCCTTTTCGTTGGGGAGGGGCTCCGTGTTCCTTAATTGTTTCGCAGCTTGCCTTGGATTTTCCTTAGGTGTTCGATACGAAATCGAAGTTCAACTTATGGAAAATAGGGGCCTCGTTCCTTATTTAGGGTTCCTTAGGTCAACGCCC